ATATATATTGAAATATGTTATGGGGGCCAAAGGGTAGCATTGGAATTTTGAACTATAAAGGTAAAAAATAAACATTTATAAATCTATAAGACAAAAGGACGAGACAAAACAAAACCAAAACAGGAATAAAGATATATTTAATAGCGTTAATTATTTTCATCATATGACGTACCCACCCAGTGATAGAAAGGAACGGAAAAGCTTTCATCTTAACCCAATCATCACATCGGAGACAGTGAGTGTCCCTTGCACAGATTTACATACATACATACATACATACATACATACATACATACATACATACATTCATACATGCATGTATGTATGTATGTATACACCCCATCATGCTCACACGAACCCAGGATGGACGTGCTTTTGACCCTAACAAGTGAGTTTATCTGAGAGTGTCGCAATAACGGTAGTTTAAAATATTTTTAATTTAAAAATATATTAAAATAAAATTATTTTTAATATTAACACATTAAAATAATTTAAAAATATAAAAAATTATTTTTTTTCCAACCCATCTACCTTTCTACTTCTTGATTTTAATTGTTTTCCTTGCATCTATCAGTTAAATTTTCATATATAATTCATTACGGTCTACATAAATCAATAACTTTTAAACCAGGTTTGCAGTGTATTTAGAGTGATTTTTTACAGTGTTTTTATTTAAAAATATATTAAAATAATATTTTTTTTATTTTTTAAAATTTATTTTTAATATTAATACATTGAAAACAATTTAAAAAAATAAAAAAATAATTCAATAAAATTTAAAATTTTTAAAGAGCAAATGACTTTTTTTTCCTCGTAGATGCAACACTTTCCACTCATATTTCTAGACTTCTTTCCCTGATTTTATAATTTGAATATAAACCCACACATGCAAGGATGATTATGCATTCACTACATTTCGTCTTCCTGCTTCACCAAGAATCATGCGTTCTGGATTTCTACCTTACAGATAGTACGAAAACCCTTACTTGTACGCTTTATCTGATTTTTTTTAATATATTTCCAAGCTATCATCAGGTTTACAGAAGGGTCATTTTAAAGTGTTCAATTTTTCTCTGGGAGGAAAGTAACTCCTTCAACTTACCACTGGAGTAAAAGGATAGTATATGTCCTGATTGGAGAACAGGGGCAGGTGAAAAGCACTGCTGCGTCACTGAGTCATCACAGCACTGCTGCGTCATTAGCTTGCTTGTTAGCTAAGTTATGTCGTCGAACAACTATTTTTGCTCTTTTGCTTCCAGTCTTCAAACAATAGCTAGCTTCCTAGACATACCAGGCTTTGCAGAATGTGGAATTAAGATATCTTTCAGCCGTAAATCTCTGACCAACCGGCCTGAAGATCAGCGCAGCCGTGATGCTTATGATGACGTTGTGCAGGAAATTAATTATTATAAACTAGACTCATGCCTCGTCCTTAAGATGCCGCAGGCTCAGAATTTTTTTTTCCTAAGAAAAAAAGATGACTGAGTTATCAATTCAGAATTTGATGTAAATTGTACGAAACACTTTACATATATATTGGATAATATTTCATCTAGTCAACCTAGGAAAATTAACTGAACTTGAAACATAAGTAACGAGAATTATATAATTTTAAAAAATTAAAATTAAAATAAATTATAAAATAAATTATGTTATTGTTAACTTTAAAAAGTATAATTTAACTAGTCATGATTTAAATTTTTTTTTCAAAAATTATCAATTCAAATTCTATAAACTTTAGAATTATTGAAAGATTACATGGTTATTAATTTTAAAATCTATAAAATTAATTAAAAAAATATGTAAATTAACATGAACACCAATATTAATAATAATAAAAAAAATATGTGTTATTATTAGAGATTAAAATCTCAATGTATTAGAAAATTACATGAGTATCAGACAAGATATGAAATCAACCAAATACAAATAAGATAACTTTTAAAAATAAAAAAAAAGTTTGAGCAACCGAAAACAAAAATAAAAGGCATGTAGATTCACTTTTGTAATTCATAGTAGTGGTTATGCGCACAAGGTTTGCTACTCTAATATCACGAACTCTTTTAGTTTTTTTTTTTTTTAAAATAATAAATAACACTGACAGTTGTTCGCGCGCTGCGTTGTGATAGAGCTGCTCTATGACAGTTAAATGCAACAAAAAGGACATGTGATGTGGAATTGGTTAGAATGGCTCTTCCTGCATTGCCAGAAGAACGTGCCTCTTGGAACTCTTCTGGTACCCCGTGACGCTGCCTGAGAGATTTTCGAAGGCTTTCCATGAAGTTCATCGGGAACTTGCATGCATCATTATTTGAAATCATTTACATTTCCTGCTTAAGATTCCATTTTGCTATTATTGATGTCTGAAAATTCAAAAAAGTTCATTATGTCCAGGTATACGAAGATCTGAGTTTGGATGCTTCCTGCAGGTTTATAAGCTCATAAAAAATTTCCAGACAATAGTTTTTTGGCTGGCTCTGTACTTGTTCTAATATTTTTATTGATATGTTACCTATTTTAGTTTTCAAGGAAAGAAGGTAAAATGGATCTTAATTTAGAACCAAGCTGTATGGCATCTTTGTTTTGTTAATGTGGTGGCTTTCCTTTTCATTTCTGCCCCCCATAGTGGATGATCGGAGGGATTTTAGCATCTGATGTTACTCAAAGCTGACTTGTGGAAATAAATTATGTGGGAGTCTTAAAAGGTTCGAGCACAGTTTAACATACTTGCGGTATTTCTCATTTATAAGCTCGGCAAAATTAACCATAGTTTAGAAACTAGCATGAGAAGGTTTGTTTTTTATTTTATTTGCTGGTAGTGGTGGGTGGCGCCTGGCGGGGTAATGGCACAATCAAGTTTCAGCCCTCAACAACTGAGTGTGCGGTACATGTGATTTTGTAAAGTGTCTTTGGACTGGAAATGCATAAAATTGATGATAATTGATGTTTTCAATCCAAGTGATGGTCAATTTGTGCGCTAGTAAAGCCATCATTTAGCAGGAAAATGTGAAGTTTTTGACCCGTCTTTCTCAGAGCTCAAGCCACTGCTTTGTCCAGGGCGTCCAAAGGTTGGACTTGTCCCTTTATATTAAATATATGAAGTCTATAAGTTGTTTCAAAGAAAAAATGTGTTTAGCTAGGCAGGGTAAGATTGTTTGGTGCCATGCAACTTATTGGCAACAGCTCATCTAGGCATATCACAAGGTACCAGTAAGTGGTCACTACCAAGGCGAGTTGGGTAGAACCCTTTGGGTTCGGACAATTTATTTGTTTGTATGGCTTTTGGTTAAAAAAAAAAAAGGGAGCGAGGGAAAAGGGCATGGGCAAGATGCGCAGTTGTGGAATTTGACAAACAAAACATTAAACTCCTCGTTAAACCCTCCCGGCATCATCTCGCTTGTATTGGATCTCCAACTCAACAAACCCATTTAAAGTAGCCCAGAAGAGGTTTCAAGTACTCACTGTTCTGCTATCACTCTTTCTCTTTCTAGACTCAGTCAGTGCGTGCGAAGGCTGAAGAGGAGTGAAGATGGCAAAGCGTTTGATCCCGACATTTAATCGCATACTGGTGGAGAAAATAATCCCTCCTTCCAAGACCATCACCGGTATTCTTCTTCCTGAGAAAACCCCCAAGGTCATCCCTTTCTCTTTACTTTCATTCCGTTTGATGCATGCGGCATTGAAACTGCTTTACTACTGTGCGTGATATGAAGTGTAATGAACTCTTTTATTAGGGAGGGATTCTCTCAACTCCAAGAGGCATTAGTACGTGGTTAATCATAGCTAAACTAAACTTATGTCTAAGATTTATTTTTGTTGCAAATAGTTGTATTGCATTACATTTTGAGTCTCAAAACCTAAGGCAACCACATATTAGAATCTGGGTTCTTTATGTCACCCCCCACAAATCCTCCAATTGAAGTATTGAACATAAGCAACGTTTGGCTTGTAAAATAACTTTATTCTGAGTACTAAAATCTGAATTGGTTCATGCACGAATCTGAAACTTCAGCTTCAGTTTAATTGCTAACAGTGACGGTTAAGTGCTTTAGCTCAATTTTAAATGGTTTTGTTGGGATTGGGAGGTTCTTAGTTTTAATATACGCTTCATTGGAAATAAATTACTAACATTCAAGTTCTCACGACTGCTGTTATTTTTTATTCCATGGTAATTGGCTCACCTTGATAGTGCAGCATGCTCAACTTATGTGTATTTGTTTCTTGCCAGTTTCATAAGTTTATGCCTTACAAGAAAATCGAAGGCTAATTCTTATTCTGTTATGCTATGATGTAAATCTAAGTTTATTCATTTGTTTGATTGCTGGATACATGAGGTGATTACTGATTGTTTTTTGACCTCATGATTTCTTTTAATGCTTCATAATTCTAGCTGAATTCTGGAAAAGTTGTTGTGGTGGGTCCCGGAGCTCGTGATAAAGACTGCAAGTTGATTCCTGTTACTCTGAAGGAAGGAGATACTGTTCTTCTGCCTGAATATGGAGGCACTGAAGTGAAACTCGGTGAAAAAGAGAGTTTTTACTGCCTTTTCAAATTTTGTTCCTTCTTTGGGTTCGAGTTTCTGGTGGATGTTGTGCAAATTGTTTACTAGAGTTGGCATTTGTGTGTTAGCTTATTTATTTTGTCTACATGGTAGTATAAAAAATATCGTGGTCTTATCTCAGCTATTCCATGGCCCTTATTACTTGACACTAAAATGTGGACAGATCAAATTATAGGCAGTTTGAGTTGGCACCTAAATGCTCAATTGAACCATGTAGCTTCTAGAAGGCATACGCCTGACTCATAGATCCATGTAGATTTAATAATGCATGATACCTCATCCTATATGATTTAAATTTGTTTTGCTGACTTTAGAATTTCTAATGACATAGAATGCATGTTTATATGTTTAAAGGAATACCTATAATGGAGGATGATTTGGCTTGATACAGTTTTTGAAATGAACCAGTTAATTTTCAGTACCGTTTGCTTTTCTGTATTGGGCATTGTTGTTAATAACGTCTGCAGTGTATTTGACTATAGTGAGTTGATATATGGAAATTGGTTTTTTGCAAATGCCTTGAAATGGCATTGTGATGTGAATGAGATCAGGATGGGTATTCTAGGGAGCTTGGTTATCTGTTCTTCTTTTGGCTTGCATGCATTCCCTTACATATTACAATCATTAGATCAATCTTGACTTAGAAGAAATTTTATCCTGCAGAAATAAGATCCTTACTGAAATCATGAAAGATTTGACCCATTATGCCGTCCTTGAAAAGGTCATTGCTGCATAAATGTAGATTTTGTTGACCCATTATGCCGTCCTTGAAAAGGTCATTGCTGCATAAATGTAGATTTTGTGATTTTTCTGATAGCCTGGTGCTTTCTTGTATTGACTTTTTGGTTAATCTTGGCTGGTTTTGCTACCCAAACGGGATGTGCATATGGTAAGAAGGTACAATAGGGAACACTTGTTGGATAATTGGGACTTCAGGTTAAATGCATGCCTAAACACTAACTTCTTTTCTATCATCTTTTCATTGGCAACCCCATTGGGTTGGCCTAATGGAGAAGAGTTGGGACTTGATAGTGTGCTCTTGTCCAGGATCCCAGGGGCTATTAGACTTGGGCAAAACCCATGAATTAACCATGGTGCACTCACAGGAAACTCCTTGCCGAGGGCATGTGCATCCTTGGGATTAGTCGGGCCTTGGCCTGGATACCTGGTGCTAATAAAATAAAAAAATCTTTTCATTGGCAGGAAAAATTAAACAAGTTTGACAGCAACAACTCAGAACGACAACTGCTTTTCTTTCTGCTAAAACAGCTTGTTACACAAATGCATTTATTTTCCTCTCATTAGACGATTGTTCAATACAAGTACACAGTTTTTGATGATGTTTCGTTGTGGCTTTATGCACTGTTTTAGGTATTTTCTATATCGAGATGAAGATATCATGTGAACTCTTCATGACTAACTCAAAATGCTCCATCACATTAAAGACTTGAAAGCTAATCGAGTTACTGCCTGTACTCTGTATTGTTTAGATTTTGGTTATTGTTGGTTCCTATCATTTTAGCCAAGCTTGTATCAAACATGAATGTCTTGTTTATCCCTGAGGGAACTCAGGTTGGAAATAAGTGTGCTGCCCGGAATGGAAAGGGCAAACTTTTGTGACTTCCCATTTAAGGCATCTTCATCACTTATCACTGTGAGCTGTGCTTTGCTTGCGTTTCACAGCCAGTTGTATTGGGAGGACTAGAGGATATTTAGGGTATGTTTGTGAGGGAAGGATGGACGCGGGGAGGGATGAGAAGTGAAGGATTGGCTATTTCCTTTGCTTGGTGAGAAAGATGAGGACCCAGGAAGAATTGGAAAGATCGCTCCCGACAGACCCTTGAAACTATATTTTGATTTTTGAGTTCAAGCATCTCAGAATGAATCTTACAACGCTAGAAACATCCCTTTGAAGGCAAGCATAACAAGGATCAAGCGTTCTTGACATTTGACATTGCAGAAAATGGCAAGGCGAGAACAAAAGTTTGGAGCCACCACGGACAAGTTTCCCTTGGTCCTTGCTTCGCAGTTGACGCTGTCATGCCATTAACGGGCGTTTGGATTAGAACTAAACATTACTTTCGCCGCTAATTGTGTAATGTTTAAAAGGGTTAGGAAACTAGAACAAAACTGCAGGTGAGATGGTCAGTTGTGAAGGTACGCTGCCTTCTCTTTCGGAACTTCGTGGTCACCAATGTGATGTGTACGAGGAAGCTTCGTAATCATATAAAAAGGTTCGGCAACTCAGTACTGCAGTTTTCTCAAATGTTTTTATGCTACTGTGCACTTTCAACTTTCAAGAGGACGTGATCCAAAATGCTGGATTTAAGTT